CTACTACAGAACAGTCAGTATCTGGAACTCCATGGATAGCTCTCTAAAAACTCTCGAGAAAGTATCTGCTTTTAAGTTTTATCTTAAACGTAAACTTATCAAGGATTTTATAGATTCCTAATTCTAGTTAATTAATTTTAAGTCTGAATATTATCTTAGAGTTTTTAAGTAGTTTTAAATTATTATTGTATTGTCTTTGAAAAGCCTCTAAAGGGAAAGTCAATAAAGTATGTATGTATGTATGTATGTATTGTGAGTCACAGCATTTGCCATCAAGGATTCAGTCAAAGTAACACTTTTAATATAATCTGACATGTTTTGCAGTCGTCACATACCTCTCCTGTTTCATAAGGTTTGGGTTTTAAAGCAGGTACGTGAACCTCCTCGTAGCCTTTTCTTTGCTTTCTGAACGAACCATCAGGTAGCTGACATCTCTTGTTGGCCATGAGATGGCTGCCATCTTTGAACGTAAGATCCTCAAGATCCAATATCCTCCGACTACCTCGAGTCTACAAGAAAGACAAAATAGAGATAATTGATCCTGCTTGTTTAACATGGCATAGTGCTTAGTCACACTCAGCCTACAGAACTCACAGAAAAACAGTGATTGTGAGTACAATCTCAGTACCATGCTGTACTTTATCAGGACCCAGTGGCCAAGGGTGACATACTGCATCCATGTATATACAGTGGAACCCTGCCTCACAGCCACCCCATTAACAGGGCCACCTCATTATTACGGCCACTTTATTCTGGCCCAAAGGAAAGCTCAGTCAGTCATTTTCTTATTTACAGAACCCCTTTAACATGGCCACCCCGTAAACACAACGTGATTTTTGTGGCCCATTGGTGACTGGATTAATGGGGTTCCACTGTAGTTATAATATTGTATTAAACAATTATTAATAAAGATCATTGCAATACCTGATCAGACTCAATAGCATCCAAGTCTGCTGCAATCCTTGCTTTCCTATTGGCTGCTTTCCTTGCTCTTTCCTCCTACAAGCATGAAAAACAAAAATAAGACCAGGCCAAGTAAATTACATGAATTTCAAAGGCCTCGTGGTAAATCCATGAAGACTGAACATGATATATTCTACCGACGACGCCTTGATCACTATGAAATCAGTAATCAAAATTATACATGTACATGTATGTTCATTATTAAACTCGTCTGACCTGAATTAAGTCTTCTTGTTCTGTTTCTGTCAGCGCATGCAGAATAGAAGCTAAATCTGGATCAGAACTCATTTTCTCTTCAATTTCTTTCTTTTCATTGGCACTCTGTGCTGTTGCAAGCAGTGTACAATACAGCACCATGCTCTTGTTTTTCCGCAACAACCTAATAAAAGAGAATTTATCATGTCCCAGAAGTAGCATCATTTTGTTCTCGAGTTCTCGATCATCTTTAGCACTCTTAAGGATCTCCAATACTTCTTCAGCTTTTGATCTTGAGGCCTCAGCATCTGCATAATATTTGTTCAGTTCTCGTTGTAACCAAAAGGCATCAATGTCGCGAGGGTGAAGATTATCCCCTGTTCTCTGGGACCTTTCATCTTCCAACTAATCAAAATAGAAAAAATAGCGTAATCAAAATCCTAGTAAAACAATTATGATGTTACTTGGTTACCATATTATTTTCTGCCACCAGAGAAAAAAACAATTGAAATCCACTTGCCCAGTGGGCCAGTACATTTCAGTTTTCAGTTGCCCCACTAATATAACGCCTGCCAAATAGGCATGCAATGTTTATCACTTATCAACTGCATCACTCACTACAGTAGGTGTTGTCTGTAATCAGTGATACGCTATAACAGAGGATGAATGCAAGCAAAGTATGCTTGAATTTTAAATTTTAAATCCATTGGCATTCTTTTAACTCATTGCTTAGCTCATCTTGCAGTCTTAAGTTTTGAAATTGTTTTTGACTGGAAATTATCACTAACAAGACTACTGAGGCTAACTTCACTTGCCCACCAGACCATTAAACTTCCATTTTCACTTGCCCAAGAACAAAATTCACTTGCCCCAGGCAATCAGACCTGGGTTTCTTCCTACCCTGTTTGCACGCATTTTTGGCACCTCATATAAGCAATCAGTATGTAATTTTTCAGTTCAATTTCAGCCCTTACAGGGGGAAGGGATAGGAGTATGCAAGCAAGAACAAAAGAACAAGAGCCAAAGGCAGACTGCCTCACCCCTCCCTGAAGAGTCATGGTTGTGTCAGCCTCCACACCCTCTTCCTCATCACTGGATTCTTCATCGCGGACCTCATCAAAGTCTTTATCCTCCTACAAAATGAGAAGAAAAGAGTCTGTAAATACACAGGCACAGTAATTTCTCCTTACAAAACCAATGCAAATAATTATAAGGTGTATCCACATGCCTTTATGATCTTCCAAAAAACAAATATAGAACAGCATATTGCAAATTGAAGGAACAAAAATGTGACCTTTTTAACAACCCAGCAATTTACTGAATTAAACTGCTTGGATATAATGCCTCAAAAGGAGTGGTTAGTTTTCCTCTCGACATTAAACAGACGCACGATAACAAACATGTGACTGTGGTAAGCAAAGAGAGGACTACTTACAACAATGGCTTAGTTCTATTGAGTAGAAAAACGTAAGAGAAACACAGAAAGCCAAAAAATGGGGATGACTTAGCAGACTGCACTGTGCATGTACAGTACAGCATTGACCTGACTGCTCATCTTGATTTGAATGAAACTGTCATTCATAATGCTCAGACCTAATCCTTATTTTGATACATGTCCTGGCTGTCATGAAGGGCCGTAACACCTGTTATGGCTGAGTATGCATGATTCTTCCTTGATGCAAAATGGGTAAAATTGCTTGTTGTTGATAGAATTCACCCACAATGTAACACGTTTGCTATGGGGTGACTCAACACGTAATGACAGCCGTGCATATATGTGGCCAAACTTTTGCCAATTGAAGACTATTGCTCTGTCAGAGACTATAATTAGGAAAAAACAAAACAGAATTGTACTTAAAACACTGTGAGAGGCCCAGTGACCTGATGGAGCATGCTGGATTGAGTCCTGCTGTAGTTTGGGTGGATCACTTTGTTGTGATCTTGGGCAAGACACTCTAAGCTTCCCTCTCTCCACCCAGGTGTATGAATAATAATTATTATGGCAAATTTAATGCTGGGGATCCTGTGATAGACTACAGAGCTGCATCCCATCCAGGGGGAGAAAATGCTCACTTGATGCTACAGAACATTATCAAAGTAAACACAATACTTTACATACCTCTTCTTCCTCTTCATCAAACTGTACAGCCACACCATACGTCTCGTCAATCACTTCATCTGTGTGAAAAAACAGAACAGATACCTGTTATGACCAGTGCAAGACGGCATTGAGGTAATGGTGTCAGCATATCACTGCTCACTGATCATGTTCATAAACCACGTAATCCACATGACTGTCTTCAGAATCAGGTAAAGCATGGATTGATTTTAATCATGATGATCAGCAAGTTTTATCATTACAATCCTGTTGACCACTGCATGGAAATGCAACTTCAAGATCCTTAAAGGATCAAATTGTAGATCAAATCAAAAAAGCTAAAAAAAACACCAAAATAAAGGTAACAAGTATTGGAAAGATCACTTCTGATCAGCATTAATAATATTTAATTACTATGTATAGCAAGGTTGAGTATTTTTCTATTGTTGTTTAAATCTTTAATAAAATGCAGCACCAAGAAAAACCCATGAATTGAATTAAAATTCATTGCATATCCTCCCATACAAGAATGTCACAGACTTTTAGGCCTCAGAGGAAAAGCAGAGCAAAGAAAGATTGAAGATTCTTAATGATCCTCACACACAGTTGTGATGATGAGCATGAGTGAGACAGCCTATTTACCATTGAATACATGTACTTACCATCATTTAGTAAACTTCTGTCCACAGAGTAGTCGGTGATTTTCTTTCCCAAGTTTACCAGCAATGCAAATCGTTCATCAGGTGTTGGACCAAGAAGAGATATAATCTCCTTCTGCCGCTCTTTATCCTAATAAACAACAAAAAATACATGTCATTCCAGTTAGACTCATGGCTACCCAAGCTTATCAAACTTACTGGTGACAAATCACATATTTCTTGGGTTGCATTTCTTTGAGAAATTATAAGATTAAATAATTCAGTCTTAAAACCCAAAAGCAGATCCTGCATTTCTTTACTGATTAGAACAGATTAACCCAAGATCTCTCAGAACATGGTGCATCAAAGGAACTGATGTATCTAATCTGGGTGAGGATTCTTCAGTTCCTTTGAAGCACCATGATCCTAGTGATTTTGAATTAATCTGTTAAGAAAAGAAATGTAATATCTGTTTTTGGATGTAAGAATCCTATCTTGGATTTTTCCAAACAAAAAAAAAATTTAAATAATTTATGCTAGACTAGGTAACCTAAAATTCCCAGCATGTAGAAGAATGGCAAAGTTACATGTACATGTAAATGCAGACCTTTGTAGTTCAGGATGACAAAGTTATTACTGTAGCCCTTATTACGACCCAGCAATTTACTGAATTAATTTGCTAGGATAACCTCCAAGGGTGTGGTTAGTTTTCCTCTCGACATTAAACAGACACACGGTAACGAACATGTGACTGTGGTAAGCAAAGAGAGGAGTACTTCAAGAAAAGCTTAAGAACAAGGAAATACACTGTTTACATTTCCAGGCACAGATACATGAATATCAAACTTAAACACACTGTACATGTATATGTACATGCACACAATAAAGTGTACATGCAATTCTACAAAATTTTGTACTTTACTGTACATTGCACATGCTGTAGACATCCTCACTGGAGATTGGATATTCATTTTACTACTTTGATCCTTATTGTCTGCTTTAGCACTGCAAAGTGATCTTTAAGGACATTCACGCTAATCATTAGAACTGCGCATCCTTACTGTGCATGCAAATTAACGTGCTACGTCATGCATCAAGCGCCCGCTAAGTAATAAAATGAACATTGATAGGGCAGATAACCATTGCTATAGCTTTGTCTGGATCTAATGATCTTCCAAAGACATTCGGTGACCCCTATTTTTCTTTAGATGGATCATTTTCTCTACCAAATTTCTACGTTTAGCAAAAAAATGAAGAAAATCTATCACTTAGAAGTTTGGATTTTCTGCAGAATGCACCATCAAATTCCTTTCTTTTTAGCTCTTTGTTTATCTGTGCAGCAGTTTCAAATGCCATTTCAAAGGTTAAGTTTTGTGAAAACGTTGACAACATTTGGAATTATTAATGCAACGGATTCACTTATTCAAAATATCACCACATGTAGGATAGTTTGTCTCTGTTGATTCATCTTTGATATTTTAAGCTAAAAACCCTGGGGACCATGCTGATTTACACGTCCCAAAATCAGACTAGTTTTCCACATGCTTTATCACTGAGGCAAAGTCTGTGACCCATCATTTTTTTTTTTTTCATTTCTGAAACAAGTACATGTAATTCATTATCTGTCCGCAGTACAAGTTTGAAAAAAATCTATCAAGTAGAACATTTTCGTGTGAATGTCCTTAATTGCCTGGTAGACACTTAACATGTAAATTTTGTTAAAGGACCTTGAAGGAAATCCTGTGTATAAGAGTCCCAAGCCTCCCACAATAAGAAAACCAGTTAATGTAGATACCATTTTAGAAGTCACTGAAACATCTTACGCTTCACAGAGGTGATAAGGAGTGAGTGAGTGTTGTGTGTAATTCTAGTGTTGAAGTGGTTCTATACTGTCCAACCATTACAAGCTAATTATTTGTGGTTACCGTGATTCTTTTAAAACCACTTCGTACCTTCATCTTGTCGTCCTTTAACACCACAAGTACTTCATCTGCTGCTCCACATAAAATATCACGTGGCTGATTAAAAAAAAAATGAAAACAAAATGGACTTGTGATTACATTAATTTAATCAGGCAGCTTGTTACAAGTATATGAACATGTTCTTTTTATAACAAGAGGTTTATGTACATGTATATACTGCAGGGCTGTCATCAAGTACTGAGTTGCCGGCAGCCTTGATCTTCACACTCGTAACAAACTTGTTACTCTGTGGGTGAATTCTTTCAACAACAGGCAAGTTCACCTGTACATGTACATGTTGCATCGAGTGCTTATCAAGCATACTCTGCCATAACAGGTGTCACGGGCTACGGCCCTTAATTATAGCCCTGTATCAAACCAAGAAAGTACAGGACATGCACTGTTACCTGATCACCAATTGCAGCCTGAATGAAGCTAAGGAGGACTTCATAGGTGGATTTGGTTTCCCTGGTTTTCGGCCTATATCGCACTCCAGCCAAGTCTGATGAATCATCTGACAACAAACTGCTGCTTGCTTTGCTCTTGGTAAACTCCTCTCTTTCCACCAGTTTTTGACGCCTGTAAAAGAATTTTTTTCATCATTACAATCAATGCAATCATAGGAGGTTTGGTAGACAGCAGTTACATGTGGTCTGAGTTTAAGTACATTCTCGGTTTAACGTGTTGTATTCTTTGGCGAGAAGTTTTACTTTGACAGTTTTACAGCACAAACTCCAGGTATTCCATTAACGTTTCCAGGAGGAGGTCAGCTGGTTTTCACAGGTGGGTAAAAGTTTTTAGCTGAATTTCTTTATGAGAAAAACTTTCCTCTAGATGGTCAAACCAGGCAGGCAAAATGATCCTCACAGCCGGCCAATTTGCAAGGTGCCCAGCCCTTAACGAAACCCCTGAATGTGTGCCAGGTAGCCATGGCAACTTACTTGGCTTTTTTCTCTTCAGACACAGGAGGTTTGGTTCTCTGGTACTTGTCTCCCATTTTAATCCCTCCCAAGTGTCCCACAAGGGACACAACCTCTCCTGTGGCCTCATCACGTCCACGGCGCTCGATCAGTGAGCGATCAGCTTGCAATACAAGATTGGAGTTCTGCAAGAATTTAAGAATGAAATCTGAGTTAAATGCTGGATAAAAGGCAATCACTTTAGCCCATAAAGATCAAGAAAAAACAGATTATGTAATTCACATCAGCAGTGCTAAGACGACATGAAGGAATCCCGGAAGAAACAGCTCCATCACAATAGACTGACAGTTGAAACATTTCAGTCGTTTTTACATACAACTGACTTTCAGAAGTTGATAACTAGCATACAGACAAAATAGACGCTGTAGTTAGGTAGACACCTCTTTGAAACAAACACACAGAGAGACAGACAGTCCTGTCTCAAACACACTCACTTCAGACAGAGTTTACTGAATCGACTGTACCATAACATGTAAAGATTCAACCTACAGTACAATGTAGTAATGAAAAAGTATACCTGACGAATACATACAGAGGGTTAATCCAAAATCTGAAATATTGGTGTACTAGAAGCATTTCTGCCAAAAAATAGTCTAAGAGCATTTTCTGATTTTCTCAAAGTGTGTATCTCTTGCCACAAGATATAAGCTTAAGCTTAGTAACATAAGCTTAAATGTACGTTTTAGGGTAAGCCAACAGTGTACGCCGACTATTCTAAAGCAAGTCTGCAAGCTACTAGGTATTTTCCGTGAGGTGAAAATACATCCCAAGGTTGCAAGTAAAGTTTGCGCATTCTCATAACATTAGAAAACTGCAAAACGCCGATCTGACGCCGATCTATCCAAATTTTAGCAGTGTTTCATAACCACGTGGCCACAGCGCCACCAAATTCGATGCTTAACTCACCGCTTTGTACTCATACTGTAGCGATCTGGCTGTAGCATCCGCCATGACGCTTTCGCAGGGCTAAGCCTCAACAACGAAGTTTGTCTTCAGCGGAAAATATTTGTTTCAGTTGCTCAAAAAGATGATGGATTTTGACGACAGCTACTGGCAGCAAGATGGAGCCCAAACGTTGTTAGTGCGTATTCCAATGGCAATGTCCGCTGGCCTGTCGGTAAACAAGAGCCTGGATCCCAGGGCCCTGCGCTGGACACGCGCCAGATTACTGTATCTTCAAAAGAGAGGAAAATAGCGGTCTTCTTCGCCGCTCAAGGAAATTCGTTCGCGGTCCTGCTAATCCCCCCGACTGCGCAGACTACAAACAGGTGAAGTGTTTCTTATCATTTTTTCTGCGCGTTCAAAGTTGAAAAATTCCCTTTCTCTTCCACTCAGCGACTATCGTATCGTTCTAGTCGTCTGTCATATCACGGGACTGTAGGTCATGACGATACTCGCTTAATTTTTTTTTTGTTTGTTTGTTTCACTGAACGTATGAACAACGACGTTTTCCTTCAAATAAATAACGAACTAGAACAAAATTATTCTTTATCTCCAATCTTCAATCCTGGAAATAACACAATTGAAAAATATACTAAGTTTTGAGAATAGTTTGGGAAATTTTCCAAGATATTTAAAATACCAAGGACACTGCAGCCTGCCTAAGGACGCCAGACTGCTCCAAAACGAGAGGAAAATAGTGTCAGTTTACATGTAAGATGCCCACATAGGTCGCATCACTTGCAAGCTTCTTCCAAACCGTTTTCGAGCGAAACCACCACAATTCTTCGCTCGTATTACCCGTATGCAGACTCTACCAATGAATAAGATACTGTTCCAGCGAATGAAGTAAAAAGATAAGATATCGTTTCAAAAATTTATTTTCCTTTCCTTTGATCCTGTTACATTGTCGATTGACTGTTGTTTCGTTTTCCAAGCAGTGTTCCTTAGACACAAAGTTGTTTTCAAGTGTTCATAACTTTAACTTTCGTTTCCTTCTTTGCTTTTTTAGTTTTATTTTCATTTAGCATGAAGTTAGGTTCTGTGGTAATTCAATTTGTAATTTACCTTTCTTTCTAGATTTATTTTTCGAATACTTTTCTGATTTTGACCTTAAGACTGGCGCAGCATTCACTATTTCTGTTAGTTTTTCTTTGCTTATTTTCGCCATAACTAAATCAATTATTTATTTAATCCGATTCTCTTAATCTTGAAGTTCAGTCACTAATATTTCAGCTAATATTTCTTCCTAATTCAGATTCGATTCACTGTTTAATTCATTGCTTAGACAGTATCGTGTAATCTGCAACTTTATCGTGTTTTCCATGAAACACTCGTTGTCTTCTGACAGCTTTGTCACGAAATTTTCTGTTCAAAATCGTTTATTTCTAAAATGGAATTACTTCATGACACACTCCTGGGCAATCCACTTTTTTCGGATCAAAACAGAAGGTTTGCTATTTCGGCTAAGACCTGGATAAAACGCTAGCAGTCTACCTGGCAAGAATTGTAATCCGTTTTCATTGATGTGAAAAAGTTATCATACATATTATCCTGTTGAATTAAAAATTGCTTTTTTTCAGTAATACTTTACCCATTGCTAGGTAATCTGGCTCTCACTGGTGGGTCTTGATGAAATAAGCTCAGTCTAATTTAAGGCACTGAGCAGTACTTTGCTGTGGTACGGTAATTATGTTATATGCAGTGTTTTTTACTTCTGAGGCCGCCTTCCCACTACGCAGGAGGAATTTGGAAACGGAGTCAGTTTCACTCTGAAAACGCATCAAACGTTTTCCGTCCACACTACGCCAGAGGTATTTAAAATCGCAATAATCACCGGTCATTTTGGATTTGTGTTTGACGAAAACTCGGTCAGGCAAATCACATAATTATGGGACGCCATCGTTCTGGAAAACTTGACTCCGTTTTCAAAATGTTTTCCGTCCACACGAAAACGAAAAGCCAGCGTTTTCAAATTCCTCCGGCTTGAAGTGAGTTTTGGAAAAGCTCTGAGCTGTTTTCTTCCAGTGTAATGTGCCTGGGACGGGGCCTGAAACTGCGGATGGGATTCTGAATTGTAACAATGAGCAGCTACTCCTAAAGTTTGAACATTCAAATGAAAGCTACTGAAGAGTACTCTCCTCTACCATGTCTACTGTTGATTATTATGCTAAAGAGGGTGGTTCTAACTTTGGAATCTATAGCCATGATGAGATCCTGTAGTGTCACGGTGGCTCTTTTGTGAAAGTTATACTTGATCGGTGAGCGCTACTTTCCTGTGTTACTGTTTTTCTTGTTGTATTAAGAAGCTGGTTGAGATCCTTCGGTAAACATTCAAGACTGTTTGCCGTTGATGCCGTTATATACGTGCTATTCTGACGTCGAATTATGCTGGACGCTGTCGTTTTTGTTCTCCTCCTGTTTCGATTCGACAGGAAGGGCAGTTTCTCTATTCAGTGCCTTTTTGTGCAAATGATTGTACTTGATCTTACTTGGCACTCGCGGCGATCGGAATCGTCCAATTCCTGCCGGGGCCGACCGTACGCGTGGGAGTCGCTTGTCCGTTTGTCTCGCGCCTACTCGTCCCGTTTGAAGTCCTCGTCCCGTCCCTGTCTGTCCCGTCGGTCCGTCCACCACCGTTTCACGCGACACAACACGCGTACGGTAAACGAGGTACAAAGAAATAGCGGCAACTAAGAAAAGGAATACGACAGAAAAGTCGCTCGTAGACGCTCTACGCATTAGACTTATTTCATGTACCATACGGGAGCGGTATTCCTTGATTTCATTGCACGTCATCTCCACCTCGTGTTGAAGGGATTCCAGCCTACGGATTGTTCCGGCGAGAGCAGCGTTGGTGGCTAGGCCTGTTAGGGTAGCAGCCCCTGAGAAAGCAGCGCCGGGTACACTTCCAGTAACAAGGGACGTCACAAATAAAAATACGGAGCCAAATACAGAAGTAACAGCCCAGTCTCTATTGCTGTGGCTTCTATCGATGTCGCTTCTGATAAATCGAGCTAGCTGTTTGAGATCGGCAGAAAAGCGATCTAACTTTTGGAGCATCTCCATGGTAGTTTTCTGCAGAGCCGTAGTACTTGAGTGTTCCCAGTTTGGCAGAAGCTCGGTATGTATCTGATCTATTGTACGTTCCAGCTCTACTTGCAGCCTTTCGAACTCTTTCCGATATTTCTTGTATTCCATGTCCAACGTCATCGCTTGATGGAACATGTCCACAGCTTTGTACAGAGAATACAACGGCATAAAAAGTAGGCCTTGGGTTCTCGTCGCAACGGCGAGAGCTTTTTTCCCCAGATTCGGCACGTTACGAAGGACCTCCCTCACTGCGTTTGGGACCATGTTGTGAATTTCCTTCCAGTCAGTTGTTCGATATAGCTTGTGCAGTTCTTTTATACAGTCGATAATGCTCGACACAAGCCTTAAATCAATTGTCATGCTCTCGATCGCCATTTTTTTCGCATAAACGACCACCTCCACGCATCCATTCGGTACACCGACTGCTGGAGACGAAGACGAAGGAATTATCAAGAAAGCGAAAGACACGACTGCCAGAAGCCGGAAGTACTTCCCTTGTAAGGTGTGTCGGAACATTTCGGCGGGGAGTGAATGGATTTCTCTTCTTCTCAGAACGGTTTGACACGCGACGTGTGGTTTCCAATCTTTAGTTGGATGTGAAAAAGGCAAAGAAGTTGTTTTCATGTAGAAAATAATCCAAAACCGAACCGCCAGCAGAAATGTTTACTGCCGCTCAGATTACAACCTTGTCCCCAGGCTCTCTGTCCTCTGCCTCCCTTAACAAAAGGGAGGCGAGGTGAGAGAGCCTGGGAACGAGGTTGCTCAGTAGAATGCAAGGGGCTAGCAGTCAGGGCTGCAGCGGTCAAGTGCAGAGCATACGAGTTCTTTCATATCTCCGTCACTCTCTCTCTCTTATAGGGTAAACCAGGGTCTCTGTGGATAAGGAATGTTTCAATTCTGATTGGCTGAGCAGAAGTACAGCTTTCATTTAGCACGAGTGCAAATTTACAAAGAAAATATCCGAAGTTACTATGAAGACACCCGAAATCCAGGTTTTCAATTTAAGTCTACTTGCGAGTCCGTTTCGCCAGGGCTTAAAACCTCAATTTTGATTCATTCTCGTTAATCTGCACCTCTTTTAGGGCTAGGGGCGTAATTTGAGTTGTTTACCTATTGTTTCGTTTGGCTAAATCAATCACGGAGAATCTTGTAAACGGTGCATCGGCATCGGCCGGCTTAAAAGCTGTTTTTTTCCATCAGATTGTGGGATGTAATGTTTCGCATAAGGCATAAAACGTTTTATCGAGAACAGAACGATGTGCCGGTTATTTGAGAAAACTTTTGGAATGCGGAAAAACACTCGCCTGCAAAGCGTGTTTTCCAAACGTCTCTCGTCTTCTCTAATTCACGTCGTGTGTATGATAGAATAAGACATGGCCTAAGTGTCTATAATTGTTAATAAACCTTCGGGGGCTCAGGCCTCGTTCACACGTACGCCGGAGAAATTTGAAAACGGCGTTTTCACTGTAAAAACGCATCAATTGCAAATGTTTTCCGTCCACGTTACGCCGACGAAATTTGAAAACGCATCAAATGTTTTCCGTCCACGCTACGCCGGAGAAATTTGAAAACGCAACAATCACCGGTCAGTTTGGATTTGTGTTTGAGGAAAACTCGGTCAGGGAATCCCATGATTATCGTAATGCCATCGTTTTTGAAAAGCTCAGTTTTCAAAATGTTTTCCGTCCACGCTAAAATAAAACGAAAAGCCGGCGTTTTCAAATTGCTTCGGTTTGAAGAGCGTTTTCGAAATGGCTTCGTTTTCGTGACGGATTAGTGTGGACGGTAGGCCTAACCGGAGAAATGAAGCTGCGTTTTCAAATTTTCACTGGTGTATTGTGTACGGGGCCCTAGTTGACGGGCTGCAGCGAGAAATCTGTAACGATGCATGTAACATTCTGTAATAATGCGTGGCTTCCCTGAACGCCCCAGTTCCGCATCAGTTGAAAATTTGATCCTGATGCATCAAAACACGCAAACAAGAACTGAACTAACCGTTCGTACAGCTGAGAACACGCGCAAAGTCATAAGATACTCATTTTATTTTGGACTGAAGAAAGCAAATACTTTTTCTACAGCCGTCGTGTAACGACTGAAATGTCTATACATTTCAAGGTTTCTCATGTGCTGAAGCCCAGCGTTTCTTTATTGTTGCACTTTCTGCTCAAGTTGCTTAAACGACATACGGACGCGGACATTCCAAAGGAAGTGATATTGCTATCTCTCCCTGATGCTTCCTTTAGCGCGGGTATTCCAAAGGAATCTTCCCTTGATGCTTCCTTTAGCTTCTTCCGGTAGCTATTTTAGGATTTGGAAGACGCGGAAGTGAAGAAGCTAACTCGTTCCCAAGCCCTTATCGTGTTCAAATTCAAGATGGCTGCAACCTTACGATTGAAAATAAACAATTAGTGGAAATTAGACTACAAGCCTTATTTTTACGTTGGCAAACAGTCAACGAGACGCAGCTGTGTTGACTAACGCTCATAGAATATAAAAGATTTAAAACACTAGCTCCTAATTTAATTGAATCTTAATTTAAGACACTAGCTCTTAAATTAATGACTGCAGTTTAAGAGACAGAATTTTATTTGTGCATATTTAAGCCGAAAATCAAGAAACTTCGCTTTCAAAAGCAACGTTANACAAATGGTAAACGCCATAGCGTGCACTATTGAGTTATGGATGCACTTGGGAGGTTACATATCATTGAGACATTGGAACAACAGAAGTCCTTTTATTGAGCTACATCACAAAAAAATGTTCGTGTAGTCTTACATGACAAGAGAAAACAAGTGCGTGAAAATTCATTCATGACAACCGACTGCACACCAGTAACTCGATAAAGTTTCATCTTCAGACAACTGAGAAGACAGTTTCGCATTTCTGGCAGAAGGACGTTGGTCATTACTTTGGAAACAATGTCTGTCAAAAGATTTGCTTTGTAAACATTAGCACACACGTCAGTAGCGTACACCCATGGGCAAATGGTAGATGCTAAATTAACCAATCAGAGGGCGCGCTTTGCTTTAGTTATGTTATAAATTAATTTGAAACAGCATGTTTGCAACATTGGGATATTAAAGGACAAGGTGTGTTGAAAAATAAGTATATTTGAACTTAAATACATTTGAATCTCTCTTCAACAGCCACCGTGGAAGCAAAGGCAAGTGGCCATTGTAGAGAGGTGGCCATTACAGGGGGCGAGGGTGGGGGTGTAATATGACACCTATTTATTAGGGGGTGCAACATTTTTATTTTTCAAAAAACTTATATGATAGTATGTAACACCTTCAAAATATATCAATAAAACAGAAACAGGAACCAACAGATCACATTTTGTGACCTTTTATACATCAAAAAATATGAGGCTTTGTATACACCATTTGTCAGTTGTTAATTAACTGGCCATTGTCAAGAGGTTATTTTGGTTGCTGGGACCTGCTTTAATGGCTGTTGCTGTTGTGGAGAGGTGGTCATTGTAGAGATGTTGAAATAAAAGTGAATGTATGGACCATCCACCAAAACAAGAAACAGTGGCCATTTAAGAGAGTTGGCCATTGTAGAGAGGTGGCAGTTAGTGGAGGTTTGACTGCAGTTAGTGTGTTAGATTCTGCAGCTGTGATTTTAAACCTGGCAATGACCCTTAGTAGACAGGTTTTTTTAGAAGGAAGTGCTGTTGTTGTGGTCAAGATTCAAATTTCCTACCTGTGTATGGGCTGCGTATGGCTTCTGTATGTACATTGGACATTCTTCTCCTTTCTCAATTAACTGAAAATATGTAGCTAATCAGAAAGCCAAAATAATTTCAGGTATTTTGATTCATGCAACAATCATAGTGTCCAACAAAAAGTTCTTACATTTTAACCTGTAAAATTTGGTGTTTATCATATTTAGATGATGGAGCTGGAGAGGGACAAACTGGCTATAAGTGATGAAAAAACTGAGATTGCCATTGAGGTGTGTGTTTATCTCTATTTTTATTGTTAAGTACTTACCCTTAATTTACATTCCTTTAGGAACATTCAGATGTGTTTAAGCTACACGTTGTAGGGTAAATAAGGCGGAATTTGTCAAGGTTGGTGCTATACAATGTAATCCCTTACTTGTATCTGCATACACTATCTTACAAAGCAACAAAAGACAAAACAACAAGTTTCCGTGTTTTTAGTTTTCTTGTCAAGCGTTTCATGTTTCAAGTTTAAATAGAAGTATGTCCAACTTTCTTTGCAACTCAACTCACAGTTTTTTGCATTTTAACTCCTGAATTGCTTAATCAAGTTACATGTCCGGATTGTTATGGGCATCAGATTATGCAAATATTATGGTCTACAAACAAGATCCTCGTGACTAAAAGCTCAGTAATTTTGGTGCTTGGTCATGATGTCCAATCATGTTCGGACAATGACAGATGACCAAATGTCATCTCCAGTACTGTAAGGGCTGTTACGATTACTTCTGCAACTCGTCTTGGAGTGACACTGCTTTAAAAAGTTGCCTAGAGTACCATTCAGGGAAACACGATTAATTCTTTTCTATACACCAGAGAGACAAAATTTGAACTCAAATTACAGTCAAGGCATGACACAATGGTTTTTCAGCTTTTAATATTGTATCAGTATGCTTTACTCTTTACGTTGAATAAAAGTATCTACAAATTTATGATGTTTAATTTGAGAGCCTACTAATATGGACACCTGGATGGTACTAATGGTGTCTGTATTAGTTGTGGCTAATTTTTATTGTTACATTAAAGGGACACCAACACCATTCTTAGCATGACTTTGGAAATTTCAAAAACATATATCGATCTTTGGAAGCTGAGCAATAATGGTTTTATTTTGTAGAGCAGTCCTCGACAAATGATTGGAACCCATTAGGAAGTGAGGATGGCTAATGATGGCGAGGATGGAAACTGATTGTGATATGGATTTTTGATAAAGCATCAGCTCGAAATTAAAATCGTTGAAATTTTGCAAAAATGTTGCTGCAGTGTAGACTTTCATCAAGAAATTGCTTTAAATCATTTAGTTAGAGCTAACTAAGTTCTTATTACATAAATTTAGGAACCATTTTGTGAATTTATAACAGTTTTAAGCAAATATATCGGGACAGTGTCCCTTTAAGCTATAGAAATCTTTCATTTTCAAGCAGGATACTTGTACAACTGGCACATAATTGTAACAAATAAAAATATACAATTTAGCAAGCTGTCTGTAATAAGTGGTTGTCTGTGTTAAGTGGGTGTCCATGAGCAGGTTCCACTGTACTCTACCCATGCACTTGCATTTCTTTTATGTATGTTATTTTTCTTTACTGTGTCATTTAGAGAGATCACTACAAGGACAAGTCTGAGAGGCTAAACACACAACTGAATTTTATCCTTGGTGCTGATGACAGACGACTGGTCGACATTGACTCTGTTCTCATGGAAAATAGGTCAGTTCAATTATACTCATTATTTTAGTTAGTTCGGGATCGATTCATACATTTAATGCAGTCTCATTGTATGCAACCATGGTTAGTAGTCATCCAAAATCACATCTAAATCATCTCCAAGTATTATCTATTTTGTACTCCATTTTTTTTACAATTTGTGTGCAGGGTTACCATCACATGATGTGCAGGCTCAACTTTGGACAAAGGGCTATTGTTTTGCTCTTTGAAGCTTGCAGGTTTTCATAACCAGTCTCCACTACTAGCTATGATGCAACATATGCAAAATATATTCAACTTGGATGTAAGAATTCCCAGTTGATATACTGTGGTCTGATCTGCCACAAAAACTGAATAGTGTAAAAGCATACACAACAATGTCTATTGGTATTATGGGTAGTGTGAGTTTTGATAGTTTATCGTTGCTTGTTTGAGGTTCATGGTGTGATCAGCAGGCTTTTAGCCAGGATTTGAAAAGTGGGCATCCAAAATGTGCTTTACGGCCTGCTCAAATGAACAAGTTTTAAGGCAACCGATAAAAAAGTAAAACAATTTTCTTTAATAAGTGGCAGTCCATAGGATGCCTGGACACCCGTCTGGCTAAAAGCCTGGTGATCAGTAAGGAGGGAGCCAGGAAGGGGAAGCTTGAATACACGTGGTTATTGTTTCCTTCTATCAAACAACCATAAACCACCATTACCCATGATACTTTTTGACATTTTCGCGTAAGCTTATACTGTGGAGGCGCGGTGGCCTCAAGTTTAGTGCGCTCAACCCCCAGAGCGAGTGGTCCAGGTTCAAGCCCTGGCCGGGGACACTGTGTTGTGTTCCTGGGCAAGACACTTGACTCTCACAGTGCCTCTCTCCACCCAGAAGTATAAATGGGTACCGCCGAATTGTTGGAGAAACCTGACAAATTGCGGGGGAGTGACCTGCGATGGACTAGCATCCCGTTCAGGGGGAGTAGAAATACTCCTAGCTGCTTCATGCTACAGAAACTGGGACAAGCTCCGGCAGCTACATGTATGAGCCATTCGGCTCCAAGGCTTCACGTTATTTTATTTTTTTATATACTGCTTTATAGGACATCCTTTGCCAAAAAAATTCTTCGAAAGGAGTCCATGCATTGTAGTCTGAAATAAATGTCAGGTCAAAATGATTTTTTACACGTTTAATCTGATTTGCGTATAACCTTTGTTGCAGATTATTATCATAATGTTTAAGCAAAGAAAAATACGTGTCACTGTAGTTTAATTAAATCATTTTGACCTGAAATAATGTGCGAGCATTTGATTTCAAATCACTCTTTTTAAATTTTCCTTCCCTAAATACTCGCACGCTTTATTTTCAGGTACTTGAAGGAACAAATAAAGCAGCTAAAAGAAGAGAAAAATATGGCTGTGTCAGCTTTGACAAGATACAAGGTAAGAAACCTATACTGTGTAAGTGTTTTTTGACTGTTATCTCAAGCGAACCTAGAAGCTCAGTGCAATACCTGTTTGAAAGGTTGTCCTTTATTCACGGTGTACCACTGAGTTAATGGTCATTACTGTATTTTACCGTACCCAAATTTGCAATTAGCCACCCAGAACCCTTGTCTACTGCAAATTATACAAGTCCGTCTGCTGAAGTCGGCCAGATATCGAATTCGGGTACACTTAATACCCAATTAAAAGTTGTACCTGTTTAATGCCAACTACAAAGTATACATGTGGCTCGGCCAAACTCGCCTGAAGTGCTGTTCAGGAATAACAAAAAAAAAAGTACGATTAGGCCTGTGTAAGTATAATGTACGTCTTACCTATCTGAAGAGATTTGTAACGGAGTATATCAGTTCTGGTGCATGATAATCTAGTTGGTTATCGTTTGACTGTTTTTTTTTTTTTGTTCACAGAGTACTTTTGAAAAGCGTAAGAACAAGATTTTAAAGGCACAGTTTCAAGGATCTTATAGTAACACGGCCAAACATGGTAAATACACCGAGTAGATTGCTGGGCTGTCATTAAGTTTTGAGTCAACCGTAGTCTTGATCTTCACACCCGTAATAAACTTGTTACCTTTTGAGTGAATTCTCTCAACTATAGTCTAGTTCACCCGTAACATCAAGGGCCCATAACATACAGGTGTAACGGGTTACGGCCCTTCTTGGCACCCCTGCATTATGCCTTAATTGTAGCGGTACTATCATTATTTTTGTAACACTGATCATGAGATTAATTTGTGATAGCTGTACACCCATTCCTTCATTTTGAAGTTAAGACAAAATTAGTGAGTTAATATGAGAACATTATTCGAATTAGAGAGTATTATTTGAGATTTTTATCTGATAAGAAATATGAAAAATTGCTCATGGGACTAACTGGGCGTGTCTGACTTGTTTTTTAAGCTGTGCCTTCGCTCTTCTCTGAGCTTGTAGGACATCTTAGCTCTAATACATCACCATCCACTGTAGCTGATCTTCAGTTCTTGGCTAACTCGTTATCGGAGACTCTCTCTGAGAAGGACACCGCTCTACAGCATCTGAGAAGTGCTAACAAGTAAGATCTGATTCCATTAATTTTATTATATTTAGTCCCTGCTCCGGCTTGTATTTGAAAGCATGCCTTTACTTTTATAAAGTAAAATTCACTCTACTTTCTTTGGAGTACACGTAGATGATTAGGACATATCTCTCAGCACTTGCTGTGTGTGTTGCATACCGCTGAAACCCCAAAAAGTGCACTTTTCTGCCATGAATCATATACGTTTTATTTTTGCCCTAATCTTTTTCAAGCAACCTCGTTACGGAGTATGTAGCCTGGCAAAAGACTAACGTTCCTATTGGGGGTTACCTGCTTGTTGAAAGTTATGGAACGTTAATTAAATTAAATTATAATCAAAACCACGTGATTGTTATCTTTCTTTTCGTTATCATAACCATCGTCAGGATTTTAGGACATCGAGTTGCAGAACTGGAAAAGAAACTAAAGACTTTAGAAGTTTCAGGCTTGTGGTCTTTACAAGGTTTGTACCAGGTTGTGAATATTAATTTAATTCAACCTACACTTTCTGCAAAGGTGATGTGACTCTGAACATCCATCTCGTTACTCTGCGTTGTTAACATGCATTGTTCCCTCCCTCCTTCCTTCCTTCCCTGCCTCTGTCGCTCCCCCTATCCCGCCATCCCACCGTCCATCCATGGCATCAATGATAAATATGCATTGGACCGTGACACACGGTTCTCTTCTTCCCCTGAAAATTTTTCTCCTGGTTTTGGTTAACTCGTTTACTGCCTCCTCTGGAATAGTGTTCACAAGTACTATGCGAGTAAAAACGTTCTAAAAACCGTTGGTTCAATCTGTGTCAGGGCACCGAGGATATGGCTCCACAGAAGTAGATAAGCTGAGTTGTGATAGACTTCAGTCATTAATTCCGGAAGAAGAACGCCGATCAAATGGTCACAGCAAGGATCGAGACTCTAAGGAGGATGCAAACACGCGGAGCGAGCCAGACTCCCCTTCATCTCCCGGGTGGGACGACGGGCCCCGAAGTCCTGTGCTGGATTTACGCTCTTTTCATGGCGTGGTCGAGGAAGGGGTGCTCGTTAACGTTACTGGAAGTCCTGGTGACGAGCTAGAAGACCTTGGCTGCTTCCCATTTGAGGAAAACGGTGATGATGACACAGACGGTGAAGTCGAGGATTTACATTCGGAGGAACTTGCGTCTGCAAAACCCGTGCACGAGGAATTACCAGAAGCAGAACAGCAGGATCTAGAGAAACGCTGCAGTGAAGACAAGCTCACATGTGAAAAAGGTTTTGATGATGAATTTCCTCAACGAAGCAGCGTGGATGGCAATGAACTAAGCCATAACGAAGAAAATTCCTCAAAACCCTTTTCCCCAGAATTGAGAAATCGTAAAAATCAAATACTAAGTGACGACGAAGACCCAGACAGCAAATCCGTATCAGACGCTGAGCTTGCTAACTTGCTGAAATCAATCGGTTCTGATGAGGAGAAGGTATAAAGCCTGTCACGCAAATATTTTCGTGACTCCGGTGCTATGAAGGAATGGTATCACGCAAATACTGCCTGCCAGGATTGCTCATTATCTGCCTGGCACGGAAATTTTAATATTTATAATGTTTACAATGTGGCAATTTCTGCTTAAGTGCGCTACTGAAAATGTTCTCCAAAGGGATTATTTAAAGGTATGGTCCAAGCGACTGTAAAGTGTTAATTTATTTCTTTGAAACTGGAGGGGTTCTTTGCCTAGTGTAGAGCTGTATTGTATACTGTCTATACTAAACATTTCCTCGCTAAGAAATGAAATGCTCTCAAAATGTTATGACAAGTGGGTTTTTAATGATAATCATCTTAACCAGAAGCATATCACCTTACGGTTATATCTTTGCTAAAATGTGTAACTTGCTAGAAATGTGTTTCTAGATTTTCTACTCAAATTTCTTGTACGATATTTTGTTTAATTAATGATCAATTCTTCTGCAAGTTTAAAGTAATCAGTTGGTGACATCAGTTTTCGGAAGGTTTTGGTAGTTGTGGCTATTAGTAAATTGTAAATTTAGTTTTTCTATCTTTTACCAAACACTGGACTCGGAAATATTACGAAGCTAAACGACTCCTTCCCCTTATTTTTACGTTAGAAATGAAAGGGGCTTTTACTCAGTTAATTAAGGGCTTAGTTAAAGTTCCATATTTCGTAACTCGTATTTAATGGCGATTTCATATTGCACACAAGGTGTGCCAAGTCAAAAAGAGGTGATTACTGAAACGAATTCTGCCCAAATGTGTCTAAGAAGTTCTATCCTTTCCCAGGCTGTTTTTTTCTTTATTATTATTATTATTATTATTATTATTATTATTATTATTATTATTATTATTATTATTATTATTATTATTATTATTA